CCAGTGAATTCACTCTTCATGCTGGTCGCAAAAACCTAGAGTGCATCTGCAAGCAAAGCCCTCGTTCATGAAGTTGCATATGCTTTATTGCTTTTGAAAGTACTCAAGTAGTAAAAGTGGCCTTGTTAACGACAAATTACAAGAGCAACCTTCTTGGAATAATCCTGAAACCTTATTTTAAATACAGTCAATTGATTATTCTTTAAACTTTGCTCGCACATGCAGGTTCCACTTGCTATTTTTCTTTTAAAGACAAAACGCCCCCTTTGAGGCAAGTCTTGAAAACCATTCCACTCAATTTAACACCCTGACGTACAGTCAACATGAATACGACCCTTCCCCATGAGCATATGTACATACTAAAAAATTTTTATCAACGTGATGATTTCTTGTCCTTAATTTAGGTTATTTTAAAGAGAAAACGCCCCCTTTGAGACAAGTCTTGAAAACCATTCCACTCAATTTAACACCCTGACGTAGAGTCAACATGAATACGACCCTTCCCCATGAGCATATGTACATACTAAAAAAATTTTATCAACGTGATGATTTCTTGTCCTTAATTTAAGTTATTTTGTAAATCTGAAACATAGTTGTGAAATAATCTATTGCTTAGGTGTGTTTGAGTAGACTGTTAAATAACTGGCTAAAAACACTAACTTCTCTAGGAGTAAATACATACGCAACGGTTGATATGAGAAAAACGTATGATTTATTAAGAGGATTTGGTTATAAAATACACTGCAATAGAATAAAATTAAAATTGAAAATCAGTATTTTAAAATCTGTCTGCAGCCCCCGAAATTATGGAACTATTGAGCACCCACTCTCCGATGTAATCTCCTCAGCGCGGCTATAGATACAGTACATTTACAGATTTTTTAGAAACCGCAGGTTCCCCAAAAAGCTTTGCGTGTATAAAATAGCTATCCATTGATATTGATCTTTTCAAGGCGAAAAATGTTTACTAACGTTTTCCATTAAAATTGTGACAACAAATACGCCACTCCAAACAACCTGGGCTCCATGCTGCTTGTATGCTGCATGCCCACGTTTAGGCCTTGTCCACATAACTAAAAAATCTACCACGGCCCGTACACACGGATAGCTCCGCAAGTGGAACGTTGTCATAATGCTTTGACTACACCACGTAATTCGCTGACAACACTCAATGGATTCGCTACTTTACATAATGGATTCACTTAACATGATTCTTCACAGGCTATTTAAAGGGGTAGCTCCCCGTGTGATACATTTAGAACTTCACATGATGGATTGAGAACTTTACATAGTGGTTTGTCAACTTCACATAATAGATTGAGAACTTTACAGAAAGGATTGACAACTTCACATAATGGTTTGACAACATCATATAATGGATTGAAATCTTCACATGATAGATTCAGAACTTCACATATTGATTTGACAGCATCACATGATGGATTGACAACTTTACATAATGGTTTGACAAAATCACACAATGGATTGACAACTTCACATAATGGATTAACACTTCACACAATAGATTACGAACATCACATAATGGATCGAGAACTTCACATAATAAGGTGAGAACTTCACATAATGGTTTGACAACATCACACAATGGATTGATAACTTCACGTAATGGATTGACAGCATCACATAATGGATTGAGAGCATCAACTAATGGAATGAAAACTTCATGTAATGGATTGACAACTTCACATAATGGACTGATAACTTCACATAATGGATTGACAACATCACGTAATGGATTGACATCACATAATGGAATGACAACTTCACGTAATGGATTAACAACATTACAAAATGGAATGAGACCTTCACATAATGGATTGACAACTTCACGTAATGGCTTGACAACTTCACATAATGGATTCAAAACGTAACATAATGGAATGACAACTTCACGTAAGTGATTTATAACTTCACATAATGGATTGACAACATCACATAATGAATTGAGAACTTCACATAATGGATTAGGAACAACACATAATGGATTCACAACTTCACGTAATGGATTGACAACTTCATATAATGGCTTGACAACATCACATAATGGATTGACAACTTCACAAATGGATTGAGGACATGATCAAATTATTTTCACAGAGTAACATCATATTTTTGTGCATTTGGCGTTCCACATTTAAAAACCTGATTTCATATATTCCGTATTGAGCATTCTTGTCAATCGGCAGCCAATGCCTCTTGCTCATGCCAATGAGCGTCACTAGGGTTTCTTCCATTTAGGGGGTGGAAGGAGGGGCAAAGCACTTTTACAGGTTATTTACCAGTGGCAAAGAATCAATTGTAAACGATGGAAATCTATGAATCCATAGGTATTTCCGGACGAATTGACGACTTTCATCCATATTCATGTACGTTTGTCTCTTTTCCATTTTTAAAATTCTTTTTCCACTTTTTTTTATTTTTGATGTTTTTATTGGGGGAGGGGTGGCCCCAGTGCGACGCCAAGGGCGTACCCTCAATTCTGTGGGGAACTGTTGTTGTAGTGTAAGGCTCTACATTTTTTTCACACTGAACAGAATTCGATTTAGCTAGTATATCACTTTTCCAGGGTGATTGTAAAATATACACAAATTTAATGCAGCTGCAATACAGAGTGTCTTCTTTGAGTATATCAGTGAGGTTTCCACAGCAGAGATTTGGAATCCTAATATAAGGCAAAAAGGAGCCCAGTTATCGTGGGAGGAGTAATAAGTCCATGTGATATTAGAAGCAGCAAAAACTGATATATTATGTCTAGCCCTATATCAGGAGTCTACCGGCTGGTATCTTCATTCACTTCCTGAAGACATGCTGTGTTTCGTGTTTCGGTGGCGTAGCGAAGGCATTTTCTTTGCTGCGGTGTTCCAGAGTCAATGTGCCGACTTGTAACTTGTTTGCCAACCTCGTGTAGTGCAAAATTCACAGTGATCCGTGGTACGCTTCAGGGGAAATGCCGATGGCCAGCGTATACGTTTGTGTACTGATTCTTTGTTCTTTTGCCGAAAGAAGCTCTATGAATTAATTATTTGGGTCCCTTACCCCCTACACCCCCGGTTGCTACGCCCCTGCTTCCGTTCATTTTCAAATTCAACCTTAAGCTTAACATTTAACTTTCGTCTCTGCCGTTTCTGCAGTAGGTTGCTGGCCAGCGACAAGTCCGCCCTCTCCAGGTGTATGGACGATTACAAATGAACACGACCAACAGTGCATGGTGATGTCGTTCTCCGCACAAGTAGAAGTCAGTCACGGACACCAGCTCGTAAGCGGGTTCGCTTTATCGATTCTCTGTTCAATCCTTATAAGGTCCAATCATAGAGCAAGGAAATTGTTCAATGGCCCAGTCAGTTTATTTTATAAGACAGTTGCGTAACGGGGGGGGGGCTTGGGGACAAGTACCATCACATACAACCCCCAGTTCCCCCAGGCGCCCCCCCCCCAAAAAAAAGAAAACCAAATTCACCTTTTCCTTCCCTAACCCCAAAAGTGAAAATCATACTTTGCAAGTCGGCAACATTGACACGAGGCTTCTTTGAGATGTTTGATCGGCCTGCACTTCCAGTCAAAACAAAAGACGCCTCGATCTGACATGGCGACCACAGAGTGTGCGGATAAAACCAAGCCAGCTATTACAGTCCTTATTTCTGGTCATATATAGATTTAAATCAAGTCGGACTTACGTTGCTCTTCCCCAGTCAGCCATCCCTTCTCCAACCTGTACACAGTATATGGGCGTCGAGCTCGGGCTGTTGCATAACCCTTATATAAGGCGCTCTCATTTGATAGCCTTTATTGCACAACGTGTATCATACGTGCACATTAGCAGTCAGTAAGTCCGACTTGATGGATAAGCCAATCGGACCCCCAGTTGGTGATGTGTAGGTATTCATAAGTGCATATGAATGACATGATCTTGCATAATGTATACCGAATTTCCACTAATCAAAGTAGTCACACTTGGAATTTCCACCAATTAAAGTTGTCAGACTCGTAGTCTCGTTCATTTTAATGTAGGTGTGAACGATGTAAAGCAAGTCTGGCAATTTGATTGGCTGCCACTTTTGGTAAATGAGCTGATTCGCTGTGAACAAATCAAATGGTTGGCACATTCGTTAAGTCGGGATTTCTGAACTCACAGTGATAACTGGACACAAGAGGGCTCGAAGCAAGTAACCCCGCCCAGTCTCCATATCCAAAGTATAAACGCAAACAACGTCACAGAGGATTCCAACTTGGTCAAGTCTATGCCATATAACGAAATGAATGTGCAAAGAACTTTTCGAATAAAACAGTGAGTCAACACGCCGTAGAAAGCTGGTACCGTAAACGACGAATAAATGTTGATCATATGCCTCCAAATCAAAGAACTTAACAATCACGCATCTCCAGAACCTCGCTTCGAAACACAGAATTTGCACTTTTAACCATGTTTCCGAAATTGTAATTCTGAAACTCTATGCATGAGAACCACGTTCTGCGATTTCTTCTTATTCAAGTCCCTGCAATCGAAGGCTCGTATCCCTGTGCCTATGGAAGCTCGTTAGATGAGATGGCCAATCCCGCCCGACACCTCCAAGCTAAAAACCCTAATCCGATCCTTATCCGACAAACCTAGCTCAGTCTGATCCAATCCCATCCGATACCCCTACATTATAAACCCTAATCCGATCCAAATCCTGGAGACTTGGCTCAATTCGATCCAATCCCATTGGATTGCCTTTGAGGCCCCAATTTGAATCCAATAGGACGCTGACGGACAAACACTGCTAAATCTAATCTGATCTGATAAAATCCGTACTCAAACAAAAATGAACAAATTACAACGTTAAAGCCAATTCAGCGTGCCACCAACGTTACCATCATTTTCATATTGTATGAGATGTCAGTGACTTAACATAAATTGTCGTCACCAAGTTTAGCTTTTGTTCAATCTCAAATTTGTTCGAACTGCAGACAGACATATTACCGATATCCTTCATGTTTATTTGTTAAAAGCTTCACACTTTTTAACCTGCAGTATTCACATCCCTTTATATATGAACTGGCTTAATGTTTCTATATATTCTACATTCTAATTCTATTCTATTAAATGGCAAGAAAACCCGGTTACACTTACTTTGGAAGTATAAGCAAAACTACTGGATTGTGGCAACGCCTTGCAAAACGCCCTTTGTAAAAGGATATAAAATGATAGCTATCGTATCACTTAAAGATGGTTTCAGTCACGTCGTTCATGTGAGGAGATAAACCTGGATAATCTTCGAACATTACCGCGGCCCTATTTAATACCAATTTATAGTGATGGCAAACGAGTTCGCACTTTTGGAGATTTTTAAAAGTCGGATTTTGTCGGAATACCCATTGGATGATGATTGCAGTCCCCACCAATCTGATTCGATTCTGGTTTACAGTATCAATCCGAAGATCGTATTCAGATATCGGATCGGGTTCGGATGCAGGTTTGGATTGGACACGCACATCTTCATGTTACATCACTGACGTCTTGACACCCCTCCGTGCAATTCGGATTAGGCTCTGTAGTGAGTCTGCAGCACAAGGCTTAGTTCAAGTCTGTAGACTTTAAAAATTTATTGCTAGTTTTTTTCTTTGCTATACTTCCAGAGAACGTTCAACATTCTGCCGACATTCGAAGCGAGCAGTCTTTGCTCCATACCGTATCGTCAGTTTTCACTGGTTCCGCCTAACTCTTCCCGCACGCAATTTCCGCAACTACACCTTAGTTTCCAACTGAATAAGGATGTTGAATACACCATGATTCAAGCCGTTGCATTGTGGTTCGACCCAACCAATCAAGGTAATATCATTCATCGAAAAAAACTTACCTTTTAAGGCCAAAGTGCAAGAAATCCAGTCCAGTACTCCTGATATATCAGATGTTTTATGGTATAGCTATATTATTATACATGTAGATTTTCAACGTGAGCGAGTAAAGACCAAGAGAACACTTAAACAGTGTGAATGGCTTCTTCGTATTTAAAAAAAAACTTTAAATTAATACATTGGCAACCAGATACGTGTAAAGTGTTTTGTGTTTAATGACTTTTCATAGACTGTTCATAGACTTTTTGAGCTGAAACCGTCTTTGTAGATTCCCAACGAAATCGTGGCCTCCAGAACAAGCTATCAAAAGACCCGTTATCCCAAACACTGATAGTGATAATTGTGACTCCATCAAAACTTCCAAGCTCTAAGCGATCATTCAGTTATGTCGTATGTAATGACGTGGACAAGCAACATGTTGAAGCAAGCACCCTCTACTGCATTTGAAGCAAGATATGGGCCGGAGAGACCCCCCCGCCTTTGTGTTGGTCATTGATTGATCAGAACCTCAGGAATTCTTTACAGGCTTTTAGGGGGGATGTGTTAGGTAACAATAGTCGACAGTGTGTATAGGGATTGGGCAGGTGGGGGGGTACCCCTCCGTCCCATATCTTGCCTGGTATACCCCATGGGATCAGGTCAACTCGGACTCAAACCAACTCGGACCCATTCCAACTCGGACCCATGCCAACTTGGACCCCATTGTGGTCCACTCTTTTTAAGTCTTCCATTGTGCTCCTTTCTTTGCGTAACACTTAATTAATGATGTACACGAAGCATGCTTATAGCGTGGCCGGACCGCTTAGGCTTTACAGGTGTTGCTGTAACAGTTGTGCTGCAAAATCTTCAAGTTTAAATCGAAATTGCATTGTTGTTTCTTTTTGAAACAAATCTCTAATCCCACAATATTTGACAATTTACTGTGTAATCTCTTTTCTGGTAAACATTAATAGTTCTGCCTTGGATGTCTGGAAACGATTACGTCATAGTCAGGAGGTTGCACCTAATTATCATAAGCTCATTCCCAGGTCATTTGGATAGCTGTTCTTTTTAACATTCACATTGGGTATAAGGACGCATTGTAACCATGTTTTCTCAGCCATGTAGTTAGCAGTGTCTGATAATTTCACCACGAAAAAGCTGTATCGATAACCAAGTTGTAATTTCAGAGTTTGATTATAATGTGATTCCAAGATCATACCTGTGATTTGTATACCTTATATAAGAAAGTGTGCTTTCGTTGCATTATACAAACAAAATGAATCATGCTAGTTTAGATTTACATGTACTTATACCTAGACTTAGGCCATATTTTCCCATGGTTATACTTAGGTTACAATGTAATTATTGTTTTTCCATTTATTTTCATTAATTTTCAGATTGTTATCTAACGTCTGGGACTTAACGTTTATTGTGCAACACCTGTCGTCTGAGGCCTATATCTAACTTGTAAAGTTGTGTAAATGACGGGGTCGTCATAAGCCCGTAGCCTAGCCCCTTTGACAGTAAAATGTATAGTTTTTCTTCACATAAGCTTGTGATACTTAAAACAGGCGTTGGAATAATAATTACGGGGGCACAGATGCATAGAAGTCTTCTGTATTTGTTGACTGAAACTCTTCTTGGAGTCAAGTTGCTCTTTGAGGCAGTCTCCACAACAGGTGTGCCCAGAAATAATGACGCACGATGCTTTCTTTCCTGACAATTTCACAGAGTTGGAGGGAGATTTCAGGCAGGGTACCAAGCTCCTGAAAACCACAGTGCACTACAAGCGCATCTACCAGTGTGACCAGGAGCTGCAGCTAGATCTGGATAGCGGGTATGGCAAAGTATACCTGTGGGATATGAAACTTAGACCATTCGCCGAAAACTCCGATGGACAAGGTAAAAACCTCACCGTAAGAAAAAGACACGAGCTCTTTAACCTTTTCCAGATTAAGAGGAAAATAAACGCTAAAAGATGTATAAACACCGCACGATCATAATCGGCCTGTCATAATTCAGTGTTTATACTGCATAATGGAAGCTTCATAGGACAACGTCCATCCCCCAAAAGCTGCTGGAAACATTTTCCCTGAATACCACAGCACGTGCTTCAGTGCCAAATCTTTACGAAGGTCGACTTTAATAATGTAGCACGATCAGTTTTACACTGTTTTTATTCCATATTTTTTTTTCCATGGTCTGTTTGGAGTTTTTTTCAAAGAGAGTGAAAAGATTATAACATTGTCATCCACGAATGCATGGTAATAAGAAGTGTGAACTGCTTCATTACAACTGAGCGCTTTGTCTCCGAAGGTTAATCCTTTCACCTGTGTAATGCACGAGCATTTTCAAACCAAACCTAACTCCCCAAAATGGCTCTTTTAAACTCTCAAGTTGTCGACAAACCATGGCTGCAAAATATCAAGTGTTAAAAATTTAACTTCACAGTGCTGGCAAAAGGACGAAAATAACAACACTTGACTACAATTACAAAATATTATGAAACTATTCCCTTTTCTATCAACACTAACGGGCAAATATGCATTTGCGAACACTGTCATAATTTCAGTGTATATTATCTGCCATTTCACATTTCTCATCCCCTGGATCTTCCAATTCCCATTCCATGTGCTTGCTGTGGTTATTCAAGCAGAACGACATTGTGGGATTTGAGGCAACCTTGACTTCATGGGCTGCGTGTGCGTTGCTTCACTAGCCCCTGGTCGTATTGATTACGAAAATGACGCTGACTGGCGCTTCAGGATGACTATACATCCGGTTCGTAAGTGTGACGTCCCGTCAGTTTAAACCACGCCCACTACACATAGAGTTACATGCAACCATTGAACCGGAAGGTAACGCGCAACTTGGGTGTTTGTCCGATGGAAACCTGCAATCACTGGTGCGTGCGGCGCGGGTGTATGACGAAGTCACTTACAAACCGGACAAACAGAAAGTCAATCTCAAAAGCTGCACGCTCGCGCCTAAATATTCTCCTGCATGTCACGCACGCGTAAATCTGCATCAAGCGTAAGCACACTGACTAATATCCAAATTGAAATATTCCAAATTGAGTGCGTTCGATTAGCTTCCCTGAATGCAACAGTGTTACACGCAAGGGAAGCCTCGAAATGAGGCTGATCGAACGCTGCAGTGTATTCGCCAAGGCATATTCTGGGAAAAAGGTTAAGGTCAAGTCCCCACCATTTCCATGCTCGAACAGTCCATCCGTGACGTTATCACACTCGGGCAGCCTCCAGAGACCTGCTCACAAGCTGGGGTAGTGGTGGCTGACACCAGGGCAGGCACGAAGATCACGTGATGGCTAAACGAACACTCTCGTGTAAGTTTGACTCACACGTGTAAGCTAATCGAATGCACCCATAGTAGGATATTTAAAGTAGGTCTATACGTACCAGGGGTTAGATCGCGCAAGGCATGGTGGGAACCAACATGGCGAAGTAAGATTGTACCCATAGGAACGAGGTTGGATTTGAGGTCACACAAAGATCATTATTACCAAAAATTCATAAAAGGCCCATTCCGAAAGGTGGCTCTGTGTACGTAGTTACGCGCACGCGCATTGTGTCATATTGCGTAGATGGTGGCTGCTGTACCGTACTACATTAGAAACATGCCTCCGCTTACCCGACTGTAATAGGAACGTGGCTGGCTCAAGTCTCGCAAGTGAATTTAGGGGGCTCCAAGCTACACAAACCCTACAAAAATCCATCCCGCTAAATAATGCTCTGATAATTCTCACACATGTATATGTAGTTTGTACATACACATAGTCTGTCAACACAGTCACCGTTATATGCCCATTGCCAAATCCGGACCGATGCAACAACTCTTACCCATGGATGTCCAGTGTAAAATTCGTTGCCATCTGCAAAATCTTTAAGCTCTATGTAAACTTTTTTGCACTAGTTTACCGCTCGAAAACTATTTCCACGAAAACTGGCCTTGAAACTCAGTTGAGTTGTTCAGTTTCAGTGTCTTGAGAGGAGCCTATCATTGCCCCTATAGTGAAATATCAGGAGGCAGTATGTGCAATTAGTTTTTTTTTCAAAATTTTTGACAAAACGCAGGCAAATAAAACTTCATGAGTTGGTCTTTAATGTAGGGTATTTGCAATTTACTTCCTATTAACGTATACAAGAATATGACCTTATCAATGTTACAAACTATCTTGTACAAAATATGGAACCCTGCTGTCATGAGTTCGCCCATGCACTGAAGAAGACTTTACGAATTTCTGGTAATGATGTCAGAAAACCAACCTGCGCATGCTTCCTAATTTGCATGCGCTACGCATGTGCAACCACAACCAGCCCAGTGGCAGATATAGAGCATCATTGATGAAGGTGTATCGCCCCTCCCAGGCGCGGATCAAGGGGATTAGGGGTTGAACCTAGCCCCCGAGACCCCCCCCCCAAAAAAAAAGAAAAACAAAATGGGTAAAATAATAACATAAAGATCTAAAGTGACTGCACTGCATTGTAAACAATGCCTGTTATGTATAATGTTTCATCATCGTTTCTGAAAAATTCTCCAGCTTGAACCCCCCCATCCTAAACATTCCTGGATCTGCCCCTTCTCCTTGCTCACATTCTAGCGTGCTGTCTAGTAGTTTGGGTCAAGCATGACCATAGCTTTGGAAAACGGCAGCTGTGGGGAGGTATATATTTTAAACCATCCCGTTCATTTTGTTGTTTTGGGGGTCTGTTCTTGATCATTTATTTTAGCATTTGTTTAATTTCGCTTCCGAACAGTTCAAGTGTGTTCAAGCTCGTCGACGGGCGTCATTGTCTTCTCCATCGTTGGAGTTTTGGCTGTTGTCATCATCATCATCGGAATCATAGCCGTCGTTTGGCGCAGGCGTAGGAAGCAACCAGCAATTCGACGAATCTATGACCGGAACACGGAGACGGCGAAACTACTTGATCCTAAGAGCAATAAAAACAAAACAAAACAAAGCAAATAAACAAAACAATCTGCAACACCTTAGCAGATGGCTTTTGGTACTCGCCAAGTAGTTTCAGTCTTAGACCCAAAAAAGTGTCTGTTTCAATCTGGTCGGGAGCTGGCTCCAAAGTGGCGCGGGGACGCGGCTTTTTAAACCTCACTTTTGACTAAATATATGGGGACTCATTTACTGTACATATTACTCAGCTGTGCCTCATCAAAAACACGTTAAAATTACGCAGTATAGCAGGATTCCAGTCGATTAAGCACGTTTGGCAACTTTCGAACATCGTTTTAATACCAAATAAAACTTTTTTTATTTGGCCGGTGAACAGGTCTACGGCAACGCACGCGCAGACCAGAAACCGGAGACATTTTTTGGCCTTAGGCCAGGTAACCATTAATTTATGCTTTACTAACGAAGCCAATTTAACTAGAAGTATTATAAGCAGTTTTAATCCGCCTCGAGCAGAAGCATCCCTCTTCAGTTGAAAAGAGCTGTGTTGGCCAGGGGAGACATTTTGCTGGTAGCAGTACGACCGTGACGCATTCATTAGTCGTTCGTAAACGAGTGAGGTTAAGTTCTGACCAAAGGAGTCTCCATTGCTAAGAAAATATCGCCATATCTTGAGCGAGTTCTAGACCAATTATGCAAACTCACCTCACCTGTGTTAGGCCAGTTAACCTTAAGAAGGTCAAGACGGAATGCCATGCCTGGTATGTTTTCCTCCAGTACTTAAAATCTTGTCATTTTCGTTCAAATGATTTATTTATAGACTTGAAGAGTGTCTGGCACACGTTTTGACTCAAATATTGTAAGAATTGTGACTCAATGTCAATTTTTGAAGCAAATTTTCCATCAAGTGTATTCGGCAAAATGCCCACTTGTGACACAATAGTTATGAAACACTTTGCTTGATCGTAGGCCTACCGACAATTGCATTTCTTAATATAAGCAGTTACAGCATAGGGGGCTTGAAAATGGTAAAGCTGGGTTCTGGTCTTAAGATGGTCGAAAAACCTGGACATTTTCGGTTGGACACTCCTCAGGTATTTTATCAGATGGGCTGATTTCAGACGTTGGTATGTTTAACTAAATAAAAGTCATTAGCATCTCAGACAATTTTAAAAGAACTCAATATACTGAAACTGGCTTTGAGTTAATATTCTACGTTCTCAGTTCTTAAGAGGTGAAATTATCAAAGTCTACCGCCTTTGCGACTTTGAAAATTTGGAACAAAATATATATATTAGTTCTAAACCTTTCATGGAATTTCACATTTAGTGGTATATTTTTATGAGTGATGTAAATGCGAACACAGATTCATTTGGGGAGAGGGGGCCAAGGAGAGATTAAAAGTCAAACATGAGTGTGCACTAGCACCATTATGAGATATTCGTTGGGTGCCCGGAAGAAGATCGTAAGGGTGAAAAAAAGGTCAACAGGTCAAAACTTGGTCAAGAGGTCAAATTTAGGTTTTTCAAGAAATTAATAGAGCGCTGAAAAGTCTTTCATCTGGTATATGTATCGCTTCAAGGGCTAGACGTAATTATGATTTAATTAACAGAATGAAAAGACGGAAGATGTTTTTATTATTTTGCTAGGAATAAGGACGTTGGCAAATATACTAACATAACAAAATTCCGCTTGCGTCCTACTGATTTTATGATGCCACTATGTATTACCTGCAGAATGTCTTTAGGATTTAATTTGGTGCTTAGGCGCACGTTTGAGGCACAAGGAGTTCCCAGCAAAACATTGTTGGCATAAAACGTAAATTGCTATAATCATTCTTTCAGAAAACAAGTAAATTCTTAAAGAAAAGAGGTGTGCATCAAGCCGGCAGCATACAAAGACGCAGGCATTTTGTAAGAGACTAGAAGAGAGGCGATGTAAAAATTGAAGGACAAGCAGAAAATGCTTCTTTATAATACAATGGTCAGCGTTGGGCATGAAAATTTAAAAGTTTGGCTTTGCCCGTAATACGTCGTTGTAAGAGCAAAAGCCAGTTTAAAACTCTTTCAAAACTTTCTGTTGAAGATCCGTTAGGACTTGCTGGTTCTTCGTGTTGTAGGATGGCTATATGCACACATAAAATTCGCATACCGTAGGGAAAATATAGTTCTTTCATAAATTACACCAGTGAAATAAAATAATTACAACATTTCACTGAGGCACGTGTTGCATACCACGTTGTTGACATAGAGATGGATTGCATATACCAAGCCGGCTCGGCTTAGGAATCATCAGCAAAACTAAGGAGGTGTCAAAATAGTAACTCAGAAAATGCACCTGATTCAACGGCGTATCCAGCTTTTGGTGTCGGGTGGGGGGCAAATTCAAAAGTGAATGTGACTTTGGGCTCATTCAACGTAATGTTGGGGGAAAATTATCAAAATCCTTACTCGCAGTCCCGACATCCTCGCTTTCTTTTCATGGTGTTGTTTTCTTGGGGTTCTGATGCTAATATTATTTTGAAACATATAGAAATGTACCGATTATTTTCTTTCCTGCGAAGTATTCCTTGTTAGAAGATCCGTGGGGGCAAGTTTCCCACCCTGCCTCCCGCCCCCGCCGTGGATACGCCACTGATCTGATGCCACCACGCACACCTGTAATAAAAATACTCATTGAGTCATATACTACATTATCTATCATCTGTTAATGTTAATAAAATGATACATGGTGTATAAGTAGACAAATAAAGTTATCAAGTTTTCCCATTCAGTTGTTTTGATTCGTCTTTGTTTTGTTTTGTTTTGTTTTGTTTTGTTTTGTTTTGTTTTTATTCAAATACACATTTAATTCTGTACCTTCCTTTTCAAATATTTAACAATGGTATTTGTTTTAAAAAGGGGGAGAATTGGCTTTGTTAGCAACCGAAAATGACAGACCCGAGCTATTCATGTGTTTACTAAAATACAATATTGTTACTGAAGAGATACACTTCTGGCTGGCCATTTTGATGTTGAAGGGTCGCCTACTGATAGGAGTAGAAATACTGAAACCAGATGGGAACGAGCCACGCGTAATAAAGGACAGACTATACTCGTGTGAACCGTGATATACAGCACGTGTGTTGCGACAACAAACATGGAAGTGCACTGTTGAATTGATATTTGGATGCAGTCCTGTCAGTTGATTCCACTTCAAAAGAACTTAGATTTATGTCTCGTCTATGGGGCACTTCACCTTTAGTATCTATACAAACATTAATGCCGAACCAAACAGAAAGATATGTGACCCGGTACATCAAAATCGGGAATAAGTCGCAAATGTATATGGTCAGAAGGAGAATTTCACAAGCTTTCAAGTGGTACACATTACAAGTGTGTTGATAGTAACTTTTCATACATACACTTCCAAAATATACAGAAACCTTCACATCCATCGTTTCAACATTTACCCACATCCCACTTCATCACGTAAAAAGGCCTCAGCAACTTATTCCTGATTATGATGTACCGGGTCACATATGCATATTTTATTGTTCGACATCCAACGAAAAAGTGTAATTCAGACAGCAGTGCTTTCTTTCTAAAAAAAAAAAAAACCTGTTGAACCTTGGTTCTGATAGTTCGAGCCCCATTCAAACACAATACAGCTTGTAAACACTTGACAACCTCCAGAGAGGTCAGATGACGTGCAATGAATCCATTCTTGTTTTGAATTTGGTGTACAGTGCTCGTGTCATGTGCGTATTACATAGGGTTATGGGGTTTGGAGAGCTAGACTAGTTGTAAATGTGAAACTGCTTTGGTGGTGAAACGACGGCTTTTGCTTGACAAGAAGACCAAACTTGGAGAGAAATAACTGGACGAATTCGAAATGGACGACTCATCCCCACCCGTAGCTTTTATTTTGCTTCTTTGTAGTGAGTGCTATCTCCTTTTCAGTTAGCTCAAGATTCAGAAAAATTAAAAAAATTGGTCGAAATGACATGATCAACCATGTAAACGTGTTAGGCAGACCACAAGAAAACATAACCGAGCTACTTACGTCTGGTCAGATTGACTATTATGTTGTGCACGGTTTGTTGTTGGTTTCAGAAGGAAGAAAAGTATTTTGGGTTATATGTTGGAGAAAAAGTGAAGAGCAAAAATGTTAATGATGGATTTTCTTTTAAACGAAGTAAATAGCCAAGGATAATGAATAAGCTCAGTGGTCCCGTCTACATGAGAAGTCAAGGTCCGCAATTAATAGCGACATCGCGTTTTCAAACTTCTAAGGCTTCTTTTCAAAAGTAGCCGCTTTAGTAAGTTAATAAGACCTGCCGTGTTCGTTATTGCAGCTTTAGGGGATATTGGAAGCGCAGCTTCAGCAGACACGCCCCCTCGTCCTGGTAGCTGGGAAGTGAGTGACAATCAGGGACGCGTGTGTATGCTGTTGTCGTTCTCTGCGCAGATTTCAGTACACGAGAAAACTGCAGGACACGAGGTAACAACGATAATATGCGTGACAGAACTAAATCATCATGTCTACGTACTGATCGCTGAGAGTACGAGTTGTACGACTTTGAGATTTATAAAAAAAAGCTGCCCATGTTGGGGGACATTGTCAATTCCTACAATAAGGATGCATTGTTGAACGTGAACTGCTGAAACGTTATTTGTAGAACTCTAGCATATTGCCAACCATATCAAGGGTGGCCATAAGTTTGCATAAAGTTCATTCCTGGTGAGCAAACTGGTTTTGCCCTTAAATCAGTGATGCATCAGCAGAGGAGGGGATTGGAGGTCATTTCCCCTGACCATCATTGCAATCAAGAAAACTCTTTAGAAACTGTCATGGCATCATCTTGGGGGAGTTTTGTACGGATGACAAATTTAGATAATCTTTTTTTCTTCAAATCCCCACCCAAGCATGGTCAAGCAAACAAGCATGCTTATCATTCATTTGTGTCGTTTGTTTGTTTGTGGTACCACAAGATTTTGAAACGCTTTATGAATTACACTGCTTTTGTACTTACGTCCTGCCGTTGTTTGGCAACCCTTAGTACAAAAAACAAAACAAAAGTGGAGCAGCTAGTATTTGTCGGGGGAGGGGGCTGGGACCGGAACTACCCCCTCCCCCTCCAAAAAAGGGCTTGATGCTCAAGACACTCCTTCGTTGCACCACAGGGGACTGAGATCTACGGCTACATCAAAGAAAGTGCACTGTAAACCAAAAGAAAAAAAACAAAACAAACCAAAAAAAAAAAACGGCGCCTTTAGAGTTTCAAACACATTTCTGAACACTGTTTCAGTGCCCTCTTTTTAAACGCATGTCACCCAGGCCACGTTTAGACATTTACACTGAAACGTGTTTAGGAATGTGTTCAAATGCTAAGCAGATCTCGTAAAGCTAAACTTGTACCAGGGAAAACGTTGATCATCTAAACACACTCCTAAACCCCTCGCAATAAACATGCCATGGACTAAAAGTGTTTAAGAAAGTGAGTACAAAATGCGTTTGAATTCTAAATGTGGTCTTTTAAGATTTGGAAAGAAGGTTTAGAAAGAAGGAAATAACTTGGGGGGGCATTGATGTCTGTGGCGTAGCAACAGAAAGGTGTGCATGGTACAGCAACTTCAAATTTACAAAATGCTATCAATTAACCAAACATAGGCATTTTCAATTTCAATTGCAAGTGCTGTTTGGCTTAGATGTTTGACACTTGACAAAAATCCTCCTTGGAAGAATTTTTCTCCGTAGGCAATTTTAGACCGAATATGGAGGTCTATTGTTGTATGAGTTCAGCTACGTCATGACGATCGACACAGTCTGAAATTTCTAGAAAAAAATTAATAATCAAGTTGGGGGAAACGTTGCCATACTTTTGAAGTAACTCCAAGGAAAACACGGACAAGTGAAAAGACTTGGTGAAGTTTTCAACCACCTCAATCGGAATTCGGTTGGTAAGGACGATAAACGAGTGTTTTTTAGGTCACTGTTCAATTATTGACTATTACTCGACTTGAAACTGGATCGGGAATAGCAATGTGATGGAATTGTGATGGACTGGCAGGGACTTATAGAACTTGGGATGCACTCCATCACTACAAGGTAAAGCAGCGTTTAGAGTTGATACATTTTTTGTGCATGTATTTTAACACGTTTAATTCATGACATATGTAATGAAAATTTAATGTGTTTAGGAATGTGTATCAGTGCTAAACTCCTTTCCAAGGTACACGTTTAATTTTGTGAAATCCGCCTACCATTCAAAAACACATTCCTTGACGCACCGAAATGTCTAAACATGTCGTGGGTGAAATGTGTTTAAAAGGTGGTACAGAAAAGTTTTTAGAAATGAGTTTAAGCTCTGAGCGGATTTTTTACAGCAATAACAGCAGCGTGTAATCAAGGCAGCATACGACACAAAACTTATATTTCTCCCACAAATGGCGTCATTAACGCACCCTCCCTTACACAAAATCGTATTTTTCTTTCCAGAATAGAGTACTCAACATCCTGCCTTCCTATAACTCTAAGACGTCGTGCCTGACGCCGTATCGAGAAGTGATTTTCGCTCCGTCCAGTGGCACTTCATATCCCAAACTGCAGCTGACATTCTATCTCGACCCCATCAAGCAGGTCTACACCATGGCCAAGGTTGTTGCTCAGTGGTACGACGCCAGCCTGGACGGTACATTTTAGATCACAGTTGATCAATTTGTATTGAGCTATTTTTCCATATCCAGAGATTAAACAGTAGGGCGGTAATTGACAGCCGGATAAACGGCTTTCTTTTCAAGGGGACATTTGCTCACCGATCTAATCCAAGATAAAGGTGCAGTTCCTGCACCAAGTTATCTGTGGTTTTAATTTGGTTTGATTTACTTCAGGCGAAACTTAATGCGTGGAATCGGGTCTTTTTCCGATCAGATAGGTTCGAGTTGATCGAGTTTCTCTGTGTGCACAATGCCTTTTCACAGTATGGTATTTCGTCCAAATATATTTGAAAATTTGTGAATATTAACCTGGAAAGTTTTGCTCAGTTGTCGAAAGAGTCTTACTTGCAAGTCACCATTCACTAAAATGGCGGCATTCGGGGAAGTGGCATACGTGCGTAGGTAACATGGTTGGCACGTGCACCAGTTTCTCCCCCCATCCATATGAAGTTTTGAAATGTAAACAACATTCACCGGCAAGACAGTTAATGTGCATTTCATGCGCCATGCAATAGGTTGAGCAACCCAAATGGCCCCTCCGAAATTTAACCCTCGTAACGTGAGCTACAGGTGGTCTCGCAAAATATTGAATTTGATGGCACACAAGTCATTTTAATGGCCTAATAGCATGGCAGTTTTAGATGAATTTAGTATCTACAAACAGGCATTTTTGACATTTTCTTTAATTCGCAGTCGCCCATAGCATATTCACACCGTGGTCAGTGCCCAACTGTCACGAGTTTTGACAGCCCACCGTTATGGACTCTCCCTGCCGTTCACTTCCACTTTGCGTGTTAAGCAGTCAGCCATTTTTTGTCCTTCTCAGAGCCCTTTACGGAACAGAGAATCAGCGACAACTTTCTCAGTGCATCCGTTGCCGTGGAGAACTCCTACTATTGCGAGGATGAGATGACGGTGGATCTAGACGGCGGCGATGCGTCCGTCCACATGTGGAATATGCACCTGCAGCCCTTCTCCGATGAGTCCGGAGGGGTGTATGGGCCAAGTGAGTAACGCACTGGATAGTTACGTACCAGATGCCGGAACAGTATAGTGCTATGACACAAGGTTGTTTATGGGATGCAGACCACCAATAAAAAAGATACCATATACAACAATGATATATATCTCATCGTCAAAATATCAGGAGAAATACAAGTTTCCTAGGTATAACCCCATTAGATTTAAGATTTTTTTCCTTATCTTTTTCTTTTACACATTTACTTGGTAAACTAGTTTCTTTGAAAATTCCATTCCAAGGTGATGACCTCTGCAATGGTGGTGAGGCCCACCGCCATTTTGAGAACTGGTGCCTAAACTCTGCAGTCCGTGGCAGTTTAAAGTTTCTCTGATTCTGTGGTTTGCCCCGCTAGAATTTATTCGCAAGAGAACATACCTGTGAAACACTCTTCTAATTTTGCTTGATGACCTCCACCTCTTCCCCCACAGAGCAAAACTGCGATTCCGGAGCGTGGATCATTGCCGCTTGCACGCTGATCGGGGTAGGGGTATTCATGGTGTTTGCTGGAATGGGCGTCTACGTGCTCAAACGCAGGAGGAGGAACGACTACGCCCACTTGCAAGGCGGCGGCTACCCACAGCATGACAGCATTGCCCAACCCTCGACAAGCATTAGTTGAATATTCCATGTCCGATTATCCTAGTTAATTGTAAATAAATGGTGAATTGCTTTGAAGAAATACATTTTGCAAAGAAAAAAATCCATCAAACAATTTACAATTTTACGATTAGTGCCTGCGAGGGAAATTGTAAGTGATTGGGCATATAGTCTAAATTTTCCTGTGCAATTTTCAGTTGGACGTTCCTCGAAAAGGACTTAAAAATGAGGATAGAATTCGGTTCCTAGACTCCTCTGATTTTTTTTTTATAATAATGACTGTTAACATTTACGTGAACGTACGTAGTTTAGGCGTCTTTCTTATCATAATCGTCGGGTAATTCTTACCGGAATTGTACGTACGTGAGATTAAATTCTGTTTTCTCCTTCCTCTTATTATTAGTTTGGCACAATTAAGATCAAGAGTCGCCAAAGGTCAGAAATGAAGAGGCAGGGGAAGCCTATATCCCTGTCCCTGGGTTTACTCCCTTGTTTCCACACAACTTACAGTTGAAGCCTACATGGACTATCTTTTTTCAATTTTATGCATTTTTCAAAATTATTATTCCCCCCCCCCACATCTGCACACCCTGTCTTGGGTATTGTAAATGACACTTCCAAGGGTAAAAGTACATCGAATTTTTCTGGCGTGTACCGGACACGTGTGTTATACGCATCTGTTTTTTCAGGATTTTGGCAAACCAGCTATATGTGTAGCTATTATTAGGGCATATAGTCTGTTTTGTAAATTGGATCACCACGAGGGAACAGATATGTCAATAAAATTTATATCCAAAATTTCAAATTAAAGAGAAATATTAGTTCTGTTAACAAATATTGGGGCATTAGAGGACCATTACTGAGCAAGCTTCAAAAGTTCCATCCGAAGAGATGATTTACGGGTCCGCCATATTGGAGCTAAAAGCGAGGTTAACTTCATTTTTGAATGTTGAGAGTCGAACTGAAAGCAATACAGTGAAATTTAATGACGAATTAGTAGGAGTCTTTCCGATCAATAATATTTCAAATTCATGCTCAAACACGCAAAATGTACCTTGGTGTTTTAAGCCAAAATAAGGAATTCATTGAAAGCGAGGCTTTGGACAGAACTTACATTGTATAACAGTGTAGTCCGTCCCAATCGACAATTTTACAATTTATGAAACAGAGTTCGGGCAGAAAGATCAAAAATGGCTTTCACGTGAATAAGCTGTATTGTTTAGACCCTTTCATAATTATTCAGAATGATTGCATGTTTTTCCCTCATCATCATCATCATCATCATCATCATCATCATCATCATCATCATCATCATCATCATCATCATCATCATCATCATCATCATCATCATCATCATCATCATCATCATCATCATCATCATCATCATCATCATCATCATCATCATCATCATCATCATCATCATCATCATCATCATCATCATCATCATCATTCCAACTTAATAAATACCCAACTTATGATGAATGCTGCTGTTTAGGACTCTGTTATGGTATTGTATGATAATACCTGCATTTTGTGCCATTTTGTTTAAGACTCACTTGTAAGACTCACTTGTACCATATTCTTTAATTTGATTCACTTATTCTTTATAATAATTGGGCGCCGTGAGGGTTTTTTTACAGAAACGTGCACGTTACAAATTACAAATTATTATTATTGTTACATTTTATCACTGGCAGGATGTTAATATCGTGTTATGATTATTACTGGTACAGAATGACGATATCCTAAAAGTAGATATCATCGTGTTGAGATATCCCATATCCAAGAATGCCGTCATCTCAGTCACAGGATTTACTTAGTGATATCTCAGGATATCAACATTGTAAAGTGAAAAATGTGCATTTCTAAACAGGATGTTTAAAACTTCCAGAAATCCGTACATTTTGCATTTGAAAACATCAGCCTTGGCAAGTTGTGTCCAATTTCGGCGCTCGGAGTCTGTCATGCACTTATTTAGATACTGAGATAATAGACCCCTTTGTGTTGACAAATCACAAACGGCAACTTGATCTCATACATAGTCTACTTCAGATGTATCACCGATTTCGCAAACTTAGATGTCTTATATCACTATTTTGTCATGCCAAAGTCGAAAAACAATTTGATTTGAGTCAACTTCCCGAGCACGAGATGACCTATCAGCATGTGCGTATGTATTAACTCACCAACTCGACTTCCTTGGGTTATCTAGTCGTTCAGCGATCACGATGTGAGGAGATAACATATTGTGATGAGACGTCATCTTATCTTATCCGCCTCCCCGAGCAGCCTTGGCAAGATACCATATTTCGACAAGTCATCACTCGCCTTTGAGAAATCGACTTGACGAGATAATACATCCTGGAAAGTCGTCATTTTCTCCTTAGGAAACTTACCGACAATGGTATACCTTAACAAGTTATTATATCGTCTTCTGAAAATCGATTTCTAAAATGTTTGGTTTTTGCATGATTTTTTTCTCCTTTATTCACTCTCGGGCAGCAAGACCAGGTACTTTTTACTACCGACACCAGTCAAATTAAAGTACTGTTGCTCACATTCGACCCAACCTACCGACTGTCTCTTCCAGTGTCATTTGGTTTCGAATCTAGAAGTTCAAAGATGTGTTTGTCGAGAAGGGTGAGCCTCCAAAATTAAGGCCAGAATATGACGAAAAGAAAAAAAAATCAGCGAAATAGGTATGACTTTTAACGTGTTGAACTCTCACAAAATCCCAGCATGCACGAATGTTTGATTTGAGGTCACATTTACCGCTTTGGCGTTTGCTTTTGTGACAAGTATATGAGCCGGTCTTTGAAAAATATTTGAAATGACCTCAACTTTTCGCAAGCTTACCTCACAAGGAGAATCAGTGACGTATAAACTTTAGCGTAGTTGTGCAATGGTAGTCGATTTGGGAAGTGTTACGAGTAAACGAAATATCCGTTAGATTATGATGAAAGAAAAGGGCCTAAGTAAAAGAGAAACTCTCGTGTTCTTTGTTTGTTTTTGTTGAATTCACGAGGAGTACTGAGTAAACACACGATCAATTACGGTCCGGTATACGCCCCCGTTTGCTTATTGAGATGAACCTGCTTCGATATCGCGAATATGATTCTTTTCTCTCGTATCAATCTCTGCTTTAGCTGCTAGTGCCTGATCTATACAAAGAGTCGATGCATGAAATATTTGTCACGTTTTAGTAAAATTGATTACTGCTGGGACAAGATCTGATGAGGGGTGAACAAAACAAGTTAAAACACACAATCATGACAAAAACAGCCCAATCAAGAAAAGAACACCCTGAATAAGGAAAGGGGGTTGCGGAGACACCATGTGGATCATCTCTGTTGTATGTGTGGATCTGAAAAGAACCGGTACTCTACGTTTCAGACAGTGAGTGCTCTGTCTGTTGTCAGGAGACTGCTGGATTTCCACTCGGTGTCTCCCCAAACCTCCTACCTTGTTGTAGATCCCTTCAAGCAATACCTAGCACCCTGAATAATAGCGTTAGCTCCTCTCTTTAAGCTACTGACTAAAAGTAAATATTATAAAATTGAGATTATGAGTAATCTTTGAAAGAAATTGAAAGCAAAACTGACTGGTGGGTCTACTTGGAGTAGTTGCGCTTGAGCTTTTTCAAAGTTCAAATGCCTCATTGGCTTTGATCATTAGTTCAAAGGTGGAGTTTGTACACAATGAATAAACTACAGGACTAATGTATGCGCAGCTTCATCCAAATATAGAAACTAAACAGTAAACATTGTAAACCGAATGGTTTGGTTTTAAAGTAGAGTTTTCCCTCAAACTAAGGGTCTAGTTACAACATCAGTGCTGTGTTTGAAGTCAACATAATGGAACCTTCAGCTGTGTCATCACTTTGGCTCCTTTTGGCGATCTGCTGTGGTGAGTACCTTCTGACACCCACAATACAATTTAAAATTTGGTAGTCTTTGCTTGACGGCACAACGCTCTTCTTAAAGCGAAAAATTGGCATAATTATTATGTGCAAAAACATTTGAGTGATCATTGCGTTTGACTTGCATGTAGAGTGTGAAACATCATACGTGTATGAACGTAGTTCATGTCATGTCACGTCGTATGTCATGTTTAGATGCCTATCGAACTACTTGAGCCTGAAAACAAAGACCCCGTCTATTAGCACTATATGCAGCATAGCACATTGCGTAGAACAGATAAAAGAGTATTTGTAGGTGTGTTTAAAATGACTGAATTCCACTGATATTTATGATATAACTCGTCAAACTACATGATAATAGATTCTTTCTCAGCAGCGTAGCCAGCTTTTGGTGTGGGGGATTCAAACGTGAGGGCAGCTTCAGGCTCATTCAACAGGATGTTGGGGAGAAAAAATATCAAGAGCCTTACTAACGGTCACGACATCCTTGCGTTTATGCCGTGGTGTTGTTTTCTTAGGATTTGTGCTGATTTTGGATTAATAAATAATGTTATATCGATTACTGTATTACCTAGGCCACGCCCCCACCCCATTGTTGGGTGTCGATGCGCGGCCTGCGCTCCAGCTCAAAATGACAACATTGAGCGGGGGATTGGGGGACCTGGGGAGGATTACTTCACATGTATGCCTATTGATACATGTCCCCCCCCAAAAAAAGGCCAGGATTGAAGAACATCATCACTGCGATATGATGTGGACTGGTGAACAAGCCTCTGACAATACTGCGCTCGATGGTGTGTTGATTAGAATCACCTCACTTTCCACGCCGTGATCTGATCTCAAACGCAAGTCATGCAGTACTCATTCTACCTACCACCGATCACAAATTTTTACCACTGTAACGAATAGGCTGGCATTGAAAATACCCGCCAATTCGACGATATTTAAGTCATGATTCGTTTTAATGTGACAGCTTTTATCTTTACGCTGCAGGGCCTTGACCACGAGGGTTAATTAAGGCTTTTCGGTCAAAGTCTTGGCCTTAAGAATCAAACCTTTTACTTCAACACTGGCTTGTACTCAGACTGACATATGTGAAATGGCATAAAGGTTACGTAATCATATGATATATAAATAAAGTGTGAATATTCCCTGCAACCCATCTTTCCATCTTTATCTGATTTACATTTTGACACTCTGAATTTGCAAGTTTTTATTGAAAGCACAGCTGCAACCAATTTGTTTTAATGCAACCTTCAAAATGCACCTTTCTGTATAAGTTACCCTTACTTCCAAATTTGCTTCACTATTTTC